CATTACATCTTAATGGCGGGCAGCATTTAATCCTAATATTTAGAGAAGTGAGCTCCCACAGAATACAAACAAAATACATATGACATTCGGGTAGGCTATAGCGGGGATCAAAACTACAACAATAAGAATACAACTGTACCAAATCTATTCCATAGCGATTTTTTGAGGTTAGTCACTGTAAATCTGGAAATTTCCAGTTAGGTTTCTGTGACAGAAGGATATTTAAGATGAAATGTTTTGCACACCTTTCTTGCCGTTGCAAAATGTTACAGAGAAAATGCATTCCGTAACATGTACAATAAGTGTCCTAGGGGGAATCAAAAAATGGCATTCATTAATCAGATTTAGCTGTTGAATCCCGGCAAGGATTCAAAGGAGGGACTCGACGTCAGCCTGCCGTTGAAATAACTTGCAGCGCGCGGCCAATCGATCACGGCCGTTCACTGGTCGGTCTCTGTGGTTTTAAACGGACAACATTTATTTCAAACACACCCTAAATTCGTTCATTCGCACTGTTACATTCCCTCCTCCCCCCCCCTGATCGGTTGCTTTCTGCACTGACATACGCTTTGCGTCGGGTTGCGCGAAGCTCTTCAATCGACAGTGTGCACATGTGACTAATCGCACTCAATGCTGATTGGATCGCTTTCCTGAGTGTCTGTCTGCGACATTTGCGCGCCACCTGACCTTTCGCGAGCGCCCGTGCTTGCTCATATCAGCATCTATTGCTCTGTGCCGGACTGTCAACCAACCTCCTACCCTGACCGTTCCCTTGTACAGCTGCTGGTCTGTGTACCCAGCATTTCGAATAGTAGTGACACAACCATGTACGAACTTGCTCCTATTCACTTAATTTCAACTGCACAGTGCCCGCCTGATTCAAAGCTTTCTGAATCCTGGATGCGCTATCTGATGATGAGTCGTTGTTCTGATTGTGCATCAATCAGCATGTGTTCAGAAACAGATTCGAACCATTACTGGACTCTATTAACATTTGCCATATCATTTGGTTTAGCGTAGCGGTATGAAGCTAGCTTCAGTTTTGACTACACTTGGTGCAGCCC